GAGAATTTATGATAAGTATAATTACTATATAATTAAGAATATATTATTAAAAATAATTATCTTATAACAAATATTATTATAGATTAAGATTAAAATACTAATTAGTTTAATTAAAATTATAAAAGAAATTTAAAATTAGAAATTAAAAATGAGATTAAGTTGTGTAATCATTTTCCAAAAAACAAAAGTAACATAAGATGCGAGAAAAACAAAAACGGCAATATGAACATGATAGATGAGACGGAAAAAATATTTTTTTAATAAAAATACAAAACAAACACATCCATACTCTTTCTCCATACGCAAACTAATAGATAATAATATTTTAATATAAAATTAAAATTAAAATATAATATAAAATTTATTTATAAAAAACGTTAAAGGTAAATTATATAATATTTTTTTATGTTTTAATAAAATGTATAAACCATCTAACATTGTATTTATTAAGTGGTTTTTTAAAAAAATTAAAGTTTTCACAAAATATTATTTTCGTCCAAATTGATGTTTGACCGTAAATATGCACTTAATTATATCATTTTTATACAAATAAAAATTAGACATCATTAAAAAATTTTATTTACATAAATAAATAATTGGTGAATATTTCACTTTATAATTGTTTTTTTTAAAAAAAAAAAAAGGAAAGTAGATAGCAGTATGCATTCAAATGAATGATTTATAAATTATTTAATTATTGATTTCATTTTTTTTATGACATGGGAATCCGCAATCGCTATCTGAAAGCGCTTACTGCGTAAACCCTCGGCCGAACCTAATACCCTACAAACTAGGTACGACCGACAAGTCACATAGGTGAATCATGTGTGGCAGATGACTTGATTAGCGGTGTTTACAAACAAACAATAACTTTTGGACGAAGATGTTTTATACATATTTTATTTTATTGTTTTTAGAAATTTCAAATAATGGTTTATTTTTTAAAAAATTGAGCATAATAAGTTTTACGCAATAAATCAAACATAAAATATTTTATACATTTTTACCAAAATACACAGATATATTAATTTATCCAAAAGTTCTTTTTTTAGAAAAAAAAAAAAGAAAAAAGAATAGTTAGTAAGTAGATGACCTGTCGCCCGGTTAATCAAATATTTCACATAATCCGTTATCACAATTTAATGTAATACAGGGGAAGGGATCGTCTCCACATAGATTGTGTGATTCACTCTTTCGTATTCTAATGCAGTAAATAAAGGGGGATTTTTCTTTTATTATCTAATGAAAATAAAATAACAAAGCAATTAAATTAAAGGGGAACTGACTATCAATGGGGATGTCTGGCTCAAGGGATGATACAGTTATGACACTTGTGTTTTATCATTAATTCAATAAAGTTAATTCTTATTAAAATATCAATAAATTGGTTATAGTTATCAACAACCAATTTTTTCTTACAGTGTAGGTAATTAAGGTACGACCGTTAACTACCCCTAATTAAGCAAATAGACATATGTGCGCCCATAAGAATATTACCTAACCGTATTGTAATCTAGAAAAACCCAATTCAAAACAATTACTACCTACGAAGAGCAATTAGATTTGATGTCTAACCCTCGGGAAGGAACTATTCAACCCGGTTGTCACCTATTCAAGTGCGAATACAATTACGGATATCCTACCTGAATTCACTTTAGATTATCAGACAAATTTAAATATCGGTACCAAAATATTCAATCAATCTAACAATCACAAACTCTATTCTCAGAATTAGACAAATATTGATAATTAGAAAGAACTTTTATAAAGAAAATCAAGAATCTCCAAAACAAAAGAACCAAAACATTATCACCCCTCAAACCAGAAAAGTATCTACTCCATAATCAAATAACAAAGAACAAAAGAGAAAGATAAAGTCATAGCGGGAAGGTGGAATCTTCTCTGTCGATTTGCTCCGCGCGATCTATGAGTCTGTCAGTCTCCTGCTCCTGTGCGTTTCTGCAGTAGCCGTTCTCTCCTCCCCAAATAGGCGTGTCTTTTTTTTTTCTTCTTATTTAATTTTTGCCCTCATTATTTTGTAGATGGGTTTTTGGGTCTTTAATTAATTTTATTTCATTTTTCTGCCAATTATGTCAAATTTAATATTTGCCCTTTGCACACAACAAATAAAAAATTCGCATATAAATTAGGTAGAATCCAATCAAAATCACCCAAATATCGCATATGATATGAATATAAAACGCATGCGATTTCTAACTATCAGTAGAAAAAATAGTGGTAGCTTGATTAAATTTGCTAAAATAGGAATAATGAAATTATGAATGAATAAAGTTACTTATATATGGGTTTTATATAGTTCTATAAAAATTACTTACTATAAATAAATTCGGCATAAATTTAATCATATTTTTTTTAAAAAAAATAGCATAATTATCACCAACCAATAGGGTATATATTATTCAAGATATAATATTTAATTTTTTCTTTTTATAGAAATATATTTCTAATTTAAAACTTTTAATTTGTGTTTCTTGTAAATGTTTGGTTTTGGATTTTAATTTTGAATAGTAAGATTTTGAATTGAAATAGTTGTTTGATGTAATATAAATATGTATAATTAAAAAATTGGCAAAATTGTCGGAAACCTTCATGTGGTTTCGAACTCCGCACAATTCTCCCTTGTGCTTTAGAAATTGCGCCACACACCCTTATGTTTTATAAAATTAACTATGTGACAGATCTTCACGCCATTTATAGTTAACAGTCGGTGGCAAACACGCGCCAGTATTGCGATTTTTGGTGGAAAACTGCTATATTAACCAAACAAAATGCCTATTCTACCATTCTATGATATATAATATACTTTTACCCTACCACGTTCCCATTTACCCCGTACAGTGACAAGCAGACGGTCAAGTTGACGGATTGCTGGTGACGGAGAAGAACACCAAGATCAACCCAAGTTCGTGCTCATCATATTTTCATTTTCTAAAACTCGTCGAGGTAGTAACTTATGTATTTTATTTCACAATCCTACAGTGGTTGTCATTCGGGGTGATTTGTAGGGTTCGTCGATGATTTTGTTTCACCCCAAATTGAAATTTTAATTTAGTTGTTTTTCCTTACAGACATTATGATTTTCTTTTTCAAATCCATGCGATATTTGTTTGACTCATCTATTCCGTGAGAGTTTGGTCTGAAATTAGGGCTTCAATGAAAGCTCTATGTGAAATTTCGTTCTTCATGAATTTGCTGGTTGAGTTTCCTGAGTTTCATTTATCAAAAATTTCCTCGGTGTTTTTTTTTTTTTTTTTTGTTCATTGTATTGGTAGTTGAAGTTTACTTAGATTTACTGGGTGTAATTTCAAATTTTTAATGTCGATGTGTATTGTTGTAGAGAGAAGGTTATTTTCAGAGATGTCATCCGCTAGCAGCAAGACAAAGAATGTGAAGAAAGAAGAGATCAATTTGCAATACAAATGTCATTGGTGCAAGTGTGGAGCTCTTGCAGCAGTACGATTGTCTGATCGATGAAAAAGAGGGAAGGCAGGTTATTCTTTAATTGTCGTACCAGCATTTGTGATTTTTTTTCGTTGGTTAGTCCCTGTGCGTGTGCATTGTGTTGAGCCGATAAAACCGATAAAGGAAGAATTTGAACAGAAATATTATTCGAACATGCCATACGTTCAGATATAGAAGGAGTTTAACGAAGGTAAGGATGACATCGTGAAACAGATTGGACCATTGCATAAGAAAGTGAAGCATCTACAAATGCTATTATTTGAATTCGCTATTATTGGAGTCCTGAAAGTTAGTTTGTAATCATCCCATTCGGTTTTTATTTGTATTTGTTGTAGTCTTGTTGACGGTTAACGAAGTGTGTTAACATCATAATTCAATGTCTACTTGTTGTAGTTGTTATGCATGTTTGATGTACTTGTATCGACTAAGTGTATTTAAGAACCTTTGTTTGTATGTAACGTTGTGTCTCGTTGTCGGAATCTATCTTTCTCGGTGTGTATTGACATTTGACGGAACGTACAAAAGATGTGAACATGATTATGCATCAACAAAATGACCATTAACATCCGTCCGAACCATATTGTTCCCATGAATACAACCACCAAAATTCAACAAGCAACCAACAAAATTAAACAACCAACAATACATATCCCGGAAAGCTACGCAAATTCAGCATGTCATCTTAACAAAAAACGCAACCACGTAATGCAGTTTCAGAAGCTATGCAATCATAACAAAAACTAGCCGTATTCCCCGGTTAAGTTGCGCTACGAACACGCACCACACTAGTAATATTCATTTTGAATGACCAACACCCTTCGACGTGTCACGCTGTGATTTCGGTCTATAAGATAACCGAACACTCTTCAATAGTGAGGCAAATGTCGGGTATCTAGAAGAAGCCCGAGTACGTTAAGACCCCGACGACGCTTCATGCCCAGTGCTCGACGCCGGTGCAGCTGGCTAAGATCCTCCTCCATCGGAAAGTATCGTACCGGGCTGTTTAGGTATAAAAAAGATACAAAAATTATGTAACTGTTTGTCATCAAAGGTGGGGATATAAAAAATACATATTCTTCTGCAATGCGCGCGAAAGACTTCATGTTTCTCACCAGCGGAGGGGCAACATCCTCCTGTCCGTGCCGATGGAAAAATATGTTTTCATCACATAAAAAATGGAACAAACTTCATCATGAAAGCATGAGACTTATTTCATACATGTTGGCCTTTACGTCGCATGGAAGTCGTTTTCTTGTTTCTCTCCGGCCGAGGGACAGCAATCTCCTATTAGTATTAATTCATAGAATATATAAAAACTATATCATAACATTGAAGTAACCACAGTTAAAATAACCTTCTTGTACCTTAAAGGAAAATTCTACAATCTTACAACGCCTTCGGTTATGACCTTGTTGTTTGCACTTAGAGCAAGTGACAGTCAACCCACGGCGTAATGCCTTGCCAGTTACATCATCGTCGTTGCCATCACGTCATCTTGCCTTCTTTGGTCTACTTGTTCATGGTTTTACAATAGGAGGTGCGACTGCGCCAAGTGATGATTCCTCAAATGCATGCATGCCTAGTACCGAGTTTATGCTATGACTGTATACTCGACAATAGGTTTCCTTCTTAAAACAATTATCGACATAGTGTTCAATTTTAAATCTATGGTAATCTATTGCAGCAACAGCGTGGCAGCATGGATATCCGGCGATCTGATACATCCCGCAAGTGCAAGTACGACTGCCAAGGTACACAATATGATTACGAGTGTAATGCATAACCTCAAAGTTGTCCCCTCCACCCCACGATGAAAAACAGTTACAACTGAAGCCCTCTGAGTCTTGATCTTCTTCAATATATTTGCGCACACCTCAAATTTAATTATTCCTACCCATTTTACTTGGATCCGCACCATCTACTTTTGGCGGATCCATTTGAACATCTCGATAATCGGTAGATCTCTCGCATCCATTATATACCGATTGAAAGATTCACACATGTTGTTTCCCCAAACATCGCTCTTTGTCCTTACCGGGAAATAGGCATGACACCAGTGATGTTCCGCAATGTCACTCAACCAGTCGTAAGCCTCTTCGCCAATGCCATGAGGTGTGTCATATTTTTGAATTTTACGCATTGTCTTCTCATGTTCCTTAATGTTGTAAGTAAACGCTGCTTTCCAGAACAATTTCTTTAATTCCAACCTCTTGAACTGCCCCTTGAAGTTGTTATACAAATTTCGGACACATAATTGATGCTCGGCCCTAGGTGTCCAGGCTGTCATTGCCTCGACCAGCTCCTTCTGTCTATCTGAAAGGAAAGCCCACTCCCCGTCACTGCAATCCTTCAAATCCCACATAAGCTGCTCCAAAAACCTATCCCATGTTTCAAATTTTTCCATCTCCACAAATGCAAAAGCCATGGGGTATATGTTTTCATTGGGATCCTTACCAATGGCCGTGAGCAGTTGACCCTTATATAGCCCTTTCAAGAAACATCCATCTAGGCCGATGATTGCCCAACATCCGTCAAGAAATCCCTGTTTCAAAACTGCCAAGCAGCAGTACGTCCTCTCAAGGGTGGGAGGCGAAACTGACCGATCCGCATCAAGAATGCAAGTACTTCCATTGTTGTGCTTGCACACCAGTTGCACAATAGTCATACAAGCGAGTGAAATGTTCTTTCATATACCCTTTGATCAACTCAAGTGCATAGTTCTTTGCACGGTAAACTTTGTAGAGGCTTACTTCAATCCGTACCTTCCTCCGAATTTTCTTCTTTAAAGCCGGCAAGTTGATATTAGGATTATCAGTCACAATGTCCTTTATCCTTGTTCCAATGTACTTGAAATATGTCTGCTTTTTGTCGGTCTGGTGTGCACAACTATGTTCTCCCTTCATCATCTTGATTTGGAAGGTTGTCCCGCCCATTACGCATGAGGCATGGATCTGCCACGGACACCTTTTCTTGCACACAACTGTTATCCTACTTTTTTCGCTCCGTACAAATGTGAGATCCCACCTTTTTCTGACCGCCCAATCCCTCAATGCTTCCTTAAAAATTCAGCAATTTGCAAATTTTAAACCAACTTTCAGATCCATGCACCCGAAATCGGTGTCCTCGTCCCATTCGTGATATCTAGGAGACGCATCGCCATCGGACCCCGGGGTGTGTCGATGCCTCCTGCAGCGTCACTTTTATCTTCACTGCACCATCATTCTTCTCCCTCAGTATTTTCACTCCTTTTCGATCTCCTCGCTGTCCTGCTCCGCTGCCAGCCTCTACTTTCCTAGCTAACCTCAAAGGCCTCAATACCATTTTCATTGTCCGAAGGATCCTTCAACTCCTATCGAGCTATGGTCGGATTTCGAATAACATCCACCAATGCTGGTCTTGTCCGAGTCCTCATTCAAATCCATCTCGTCAGCAAACCCACTCTCTTCCCGTTCATTCCCACCTCCGTTGCCCGCCTTCTACTCAGGGCAGTCCCTTCTTCCACTTCACCGTAGTAGGTGCCCTGTTCATCATGCAACCCGAACCATACGTCAAATTGATCTTTGTATTTGTAGCTAGCCTCGTCGCCATAATTCCCCCATTAGCTGGTCTCCAAATCATCATAATAGTCAGCCACGAAGGCCCCTCTTCCACGGGGTCTTTGACATTGTTGCTGTGCAGATGAGACTGCTCTCCGTGCTGGTCATCATCACCCATTTCATCATCATCATCATGATTATCATCATCATCGTCGTCGTCGCAATCGTCTTGTCTTCCTCATCATTATAATCATCGTACGCATCAAATATGTCCTCGTCAACATGTACATTAAATGTAAATCCATGCTGCTCATAATCCCAGAGATCATCATCATCATAATCATTGTGAACCCCAGCTCCAGAAAAAACCACCAGCCTCATTTTCATCCTCATCATCTTCGTCATATGACGACTAAGTCCCATTCAATGAACTGTTGTCCCCTCCGAGACCACACCTTTACCCTTGTGGCGTCTCAATTCTTCACTTGCCTCCGAATTGCCAATACATGGATCAGATTCGGAAGATAAGACTACTGGACAATTTGCATCACTTGGAATGTAACCATACCAATCAATGGCAAGGATTTCCTCCCCCCTCCGACTGTTTGCCAATGCCGGTCACACACCTCGGTGGGAAATAATGCATCTTCGGTCATGATGTTGATAGCCTCATGTTGCCTTAGCACCCAAAACATATCCATTATGTCCTCGTCTCCCTCTATGTACCGACACTACAAGAAAATATCATTTTTGTAACGAGATTTTTTCATCTATAAATTCACTTTTTCCGTTACTAATGATATTAGAGACGGAATTAATGATGGAATTACGTTAGCTACGTGACCTTTAGTGACGGAATTCCGTTACAAATATACTGTTTTTTTGTAGTGCAACACTTACCATCCATGAGTCTCGATGGGCAAGGCTTATCGGTATAGTACAATCGCACCATGGTTACCCGTACATCCGAAGAAAAGATCTATAATAAATATGTTCCTCATCGATATTTGGAAATAGCACACCTTCTCCAGATCTATAGAGCTTACAAGGTCCATCGTAATCTATGTAACCCCCTAACCACATGTAGATATGGACCTTCGGAATGAAGTTCATCGTTTTGGACGTAATATTTGCACGTGTACAGAAAGAGTTAACCAACCACGTATATCACCACCAAAAATGTATTGGATTACAAAAATAAATATTTCTATACCCATACAAATCCAGACCATTCACACCGGTCCTCACACAAGAAAGAGATGCCAATAATATATAGAAACCTTTATTCGATAGAGACAGGGCCTTGCACTCGAATCTCACAAAATTACTAATGCCTATAAAGAATAAATCTTCCTTAAATCCCACACTAGAACTATTTTCTAAACCCATAAACGATTTTCCTAAACTCACTTCTGTTTCGTTACTGCTTGACGAAAAAAAAAAAGGGAAAAAGAACCTAGAATCGATAAGGCAAAACAACGCAATGTGCAAAAATCGGCAAGAAGAAGTGAAATCAGAACTTACCCCCTACCGAACATCCCAACCTTCGTCATCTTAGGTCCCACCAGGCCGCCAGCGACTCTCACAGAAAGAATAGGCTTCGAAGCCCTACAAATTAAATCGAGTCGACAACTAACTTCACATCTTAGACAAGAAATGGGTATGAGATGTTTTTTCGTGTCGGGCCTCGGAAACGGTGAATCTCGCCGGTGCACTATCGGAGAGTGTGACAACGTGGATAGGGTCCGTCGGTGGGAGAAGAGGTCGTGTGCTGTAACGTTTGGGTTTGGGGTGAATGGGATCAATTTAGGGAGGGGTAGGGTGAATTATATGCGAGGGCATAACGACCATTCGGTGTCAAAATTTAACACTGTCAACTATTTTTCCACTAATGGGCGAGTGTGCATAGTTCTATAAAGCATAAGGGTTTGTGGCGCAATTTTTAAAGCATATGGGGAATTATGCGGAGTTTCGAAATCACGGTGAGGTTTCGGGCAATTTTGCCTAAAATTTTTATGTAGTCATAATACTATTTCCTCACTGCAATTAAATTACACTTTCAATTAATTAACATTCAACTTATTTTTTACTTATATATTCTCTCTATTTCACTTAATTTGTTTATTCTTTTTATTTTCATTTGTCTCACATAATTTGTCATTTTTTTTTTTGAAAATATAATTATACATTTTAATTACATTTTAAAATTTAAAATTTTTTCATTTTAATTAAAAATTTTAGTTATCTTAATCTTAATCAATAATTATTTTTTATTAAATTATAATTATTTTCACTAATACACTTTCTAATTATTTATTAATTACAAAATACCTAAAATTTGATACCTAAGCTAAATGAAACAAATTAGATAAGACAAGAAAATATTGTTTAATGAATTTTTTATTATATCTTCAACTTGCTTTTTCAATTTCTATTTCTTTATTAAAATATTATTTTTTTAAACTTCCACACTTAGTTAAAACCGTATAATTTTAAGGGATGAACAAAGTATATAACTTATGTGCGGTCATCAAACTATTTTCTTTGTCATATTTTTATATTATAAAAAATGTAATATATACCTATATTTAAGCAAAATATATAATATATATCAGCTAAAAAATTAAGAATTTCAAAAAATATTATTTTTATTTTATCGATACGCTTTTTCTATAACTAACATAAAAAAATATCTCAAACTCAAAATACAAAACAAACACATCCATTAAAATATCTTAAACTCAAAATACAAAGCAAACACATCCATTTATTTTATTGACACGTTTTTTTATTGACAAATTTTTTTTTAATTGTCTCATTCAATTACTTCATTTTCCAAAATAAAAATAAAAATAAAAAAACTAAAAATTAACAAATTTTAGTTACAATTAAATCTAACTAATTCAATGGATTTGTTTATTTAGTGAAATAGTTTTAAAATATATATATATATATTTTTTGTTTAGTTTTTCAACAAAATTAAAAATAATTTAAATTTAATATTAGAAAAATATTCCATAATTAATCAATTTTGGTTTAATATTTGAATTTTAAATTGCATGAATAATAATAAAATTTGATTTGAATAGTTTTTTTTATTTAATATAAATATATATTAATACAATTTTTTTAATATAAAATTAATTTTTAATATAAAATAAAAATAGTAAAAAACAGTTTAATTTGAATATTTATAAAAGGATAAATTAGTAAATAGACTCTAACGAGGTATATTTTGTTAGAGTTTGAATTTTGAATAATATTTTTTTAAAAAATTTAATTAGATTGTTTGATATAATATAAATATGTATTAGGATGATTTTTTTAATGTAAAATTAAATTTTAATATAATATAAAGATAAAAAAAATAAATATTTGATTTGATATTTTTGGAAAAAAAAAATCGATAAATAAAATCTAACTACGTATTTTGTTGTATGTTTAGATTTTAGATTTGGATTTTGAATAATAAAATTTTTAATTTAAATAAATTTTATGTTATATAAATAGCTAAAAGTACTTTAAAAGAAAAAGTTTAATGTGATATTTTCTGGAAGTAAATTTTAGTGAATAAACTTAACAATGTGTTGGTTGGAGTTCGAATTTTGAATTTAAATATTGATAGTAAAATTTTTCAATTTGAATAATTATGAAATGTTACAGGAATATATATATATATATATATAAATATTAATGTTATATTTTTTGCTATGAAAAAGATTTATAAAATAATATAAAAAAAATTAAAATGAATAAAAATTTGATTTGATATATTTAGGAGAAAAAATTATGTGAATAAACTCTAATAACGTGTTTGGCTGGGAGTTTAAAATTTGAATATTAATTTTTTTATTTGAATAATTATTTGATATTATATAAATATGTACTAATGTGCAATTTTTAATGTGAAATTGTTTTTTAATATAATATAAAAAATATTTGATATTTTTAAGAAAAAAAATTGGTGAATAATAAAATTTTTGATAAATCCAAATAAACACAATTTTCTTAATTTATACTCCTTCCATCCTGACTTCTTTTACAGTAAATACAAAAATTTAGAAGATGTATAATTAGTAAATAATTAAAAAAACATTAGTGAAAAATAATTATCGTTGTTGATGCAAATTTTCAACAATAAAAAATAAAATCCGAAAATAGAGATTATCTTCGAATTTGATAAAATAAAATGACTAAGATTTAAGAATCCCTAGACACCGTACCATATATAAGTAAAATGGGAAAATAAATACTACAGACTGTAAAAGTACAATGGTGATCCCAAAAGAAATTCCTTGAATTTGATTGTCGATTGAAGATACCTTTCCATAATAGATCCAGATCTTTAAATAGTCCCTAAAGAAACGTTTTGGAACCGTCGTCTGTTCGATTACAACAACCGCCGTCAACCGCCCACTAATTTCTCCTCCATTAACAAGTGTTTTAACTATTTCACCAACCGCTCCCACCAGTTACAGAATCCAACTGGCTCGACCGACCGCCTCTGGGCACCTTACCTCCTTAAATGGACGGCTGGTCCCGAACGACTACTCAACCGCCCAACATACTTTACACAGATTGCAGGCCGACCGATTGAAAATGGTTTCTTTAGGTCATGAACAGACCTATTTAAAACCTATGTCAACCGCCACAACCCGGTCGTGCCTTCATATCCGCTCGCCGGTTGTAACTTCTCTCAACCGTCTTTTCAGATGGATCATAAATCACCATCCGACTGAGAAACCGTCTGGACCATCCACCGACTGAATCTACCGAATAACCCAA